CCGACACCTGGCTGTCACACTCGGGCCAAGCCAAAGACAAAAACGGACTCTGCGTAGCGGCAGAGATGGCCGTGTGGTCATTCTCCACTTGCCGCCCTACCCCTCCCCATACTGGTCCACTGTCCCCCATTCTATGTCCTGCTCTGTGTCCCCAAATGCTGATTTCTACGGACGCCATCAACAGGCTTACTCGCCTGGGACTTCTGGCTGAGTTGGACCAACGAGGTTCCTTGTGGACCCGGAGAGGGGTCAGGGCGCGTGGTCCCCGCCCCGCTTCCTCGCCGGGGCTCGTCCTGTCTCCGGCCGCCATCTCCAGCCACGGCTGCTGGGTGGCCTCCCTCCCCGGCTTCGAGCTCTCTCTGGCTTCTGGTAGCACTGGAAGCCACCCCTTCTCTCCTCGTCGCCTCCGGCCCAGGGCTTCCGCCAACCTCATGAGTCCCTCGACCGGGCCACGGCCCTGTGAACAGATTCCCGCAGCTGAGCTCGAGGCCACCGTGAGGACCCTCCGCACCGGAGGCGGATGTCGGGGGCCCTGACGTCTCTGCAGAGCCGAGCCCGGCTCGGAAACGCGCTGACTCCGAGGCTGTGGGACCTGAAGCCGAAGTCCTCCCTGTGGGCGGCCAGTGTGACAACGGGATAGCTGCCACCCTCTCCATGCCGTGGCCCCCGACGCGCATCAGCGGGTCAGGCGCATTCCGGGCGCCGTACGAGGTGTGCCTGAGAGTTTTACAGAAGGGACCTCACACTCTGCTGGCAGCGATAGAAAGGAAGTCGCTTTACGAAACAGTTGGCATCTTCTCGTGAACAGAAATTTAACATGTGACCCCGAAATCACACTCTCAGGTATTTATCCCCGTAAAATGAAAACCTGCTCTGAGGACACCTGGGAAAAGATATTCCAGGGTCCACGTGGGCCATTTCAGATAAAAACAAAAACAAAAACAAAAAAAAAACAGAAAAGTTGACTCAAAGGAATCTGAGTCTAGGAAAACACAGCGCGTCTTACTCATCACGCATTTTTGGCCCCAGAGCCTGTCCAGTTATTTTTAGATACAATATCTAGCGTATGATCATAAATTAGACCTGGGAAGACGCAAGACCATGTAACAGGAAACCAAGAGACAAAACAGTTGTAGTACCTGGCAGTTTTTTGGACTTTTGGTAGCGGGGGGCTTGCGTTTTTTTTTTTCTTTCTCGCATGGGAAGGCCCATTTCGTCAGACAGGGGTATCTGGGAGTTCCAAGTTCTCCGCCTCACCTGCATCTGACAAATGTTCCTGTTACTAGGCTCGGGGCCAGTGCGCCCCAGCGCCCTCACCTCGGCGTCCGAGACCACGGGCTGCGTATTTAAATGGCTGTGCAGCTCTGAAACGCACTCGGCCAGCCCCTGGGCCTGACCGTCAGCCGTGTCTGTCTCGCATCTACGAAAGATAAGAGAGTCCTCTGAGGCCACCGCAGAGGCTTTCCGCTTGTCCTCCACACACTCCACCCCCGACCTTAGCGTCCAAGGTGCCAGGGGCTGTGCCGATTTTCCAGCAAAGACGGCGCATCCGGATCGGTGGCTGTTCTGGACGCGACACCTGCTGGAGTCCCCGGCCTCCCTGCTCTCTGGCCTTCCACCCTGGCTTTGCATCGGCCGTACCTAGCGGGGCACGCGGCCCAGGTGAGGGAGTCCACAGAGGTCAGACTCCGGGGGCGGATCGCAAGGCAAGAGGGCAGGAGACCGAGCCCGGCGACCCAAAGAGAGAATCGCGAGCACGTGCGAGGTGCTCCCTTCCCAGGAAGCTGCCGAAGACAGTGCTCCCGCAAACGAGAGCGAGGGGCAAGGAAGACGACGCAGGGCCAGGAAGCGGGGAGCGGGCGCGGGAGACACCAGGGGAGCAGCCGGCACGACACACGGAGCCCTGAGACGTCCGCTGGAAGTCGATTCGGGAGAGAGAAGACTGAATCCGAAAGGACACGTACCGAGAGGTCCCCTGCGTCATCAGAATATGCCGCAAGGAGCTTCAGATTCCTGATAGGAAGTCGAGGGTCCGTGAGCGATGGGCGCAGAAAACCGAGCGAAGGAGAGTTTAGCGGAACCGCGGATCACGAGAAAGACCGAAGCGGAACGAGAAATAAAGGTGACACCGGCTGTGCGGGGGTCGCAGGGTCGCCTCTGCAGCAAGCCCACGCGCATCGCCCCGCAGACGCCCTCGCTCTGGGCTCCCGCCGCCAGTGCGTGGTTCGCAGAGCGGCTTCCGGCCCCTGGGGACCCGCTGGGTCACCGGGAGTCCCAGGTGGCGTCCGAGAAGCGCCACATCAAGGTCAGGCTCGCGCGGCACCTGCTGCCCTGGCTCGCGGGCGACTCTGCACTTGGAGCCGCGCGCCCTGCACCGCGCGCGCCGACCCTGAGCCTGCATCGAGCTCGGAGAGGACAAAATGACCTCGAGGCTTTTATTAGAGGCGCGATCCGGCATCGCTCTGTTGGGCTCAGAGCTGTCACCGTCGCTCAAATGAAACGAACGCGGGGCTCGCCTGTTTGATTATTCGCTCTATTGTAAAATGGCATTGGATGAGGATATTTTGAAAGTGACTTACTCGCATGAAGTCCACCAGCGCGCGGTAAACGAAGGCCCCTCGGGGAAGGAAGAAGCAGCTGCCGGGGCTCAGGTCGTGGAAGAAGAAAAGCTCTTGCTCCTGAGTGGAAAGTGACGCGCCTCAGACCCACGCCGCGCTCGGCCGCGCCGGGGCGTCACGCGCACACGCGGCCCACACGCGGCCTCCCGACGGCTGACGTTCCGCGTCCCTCGGCACCGCATCTGACTATGCAATAAACGGCACGTGGAAAATTACGATTTATACTTAAGGCCGCTTAGCTCTGAACTTGGCCTTTATTGCATCTTTACTGCTCATTCTCGCCTGGCACCTTGGAGGATAGATCTCATGGACAGACATCGTGGCCAAGCTCGGAAATAGTCGCCGCTGGCGGAGGGCAGCAGGTGGCGGCGACCGTCGTCACGGCTGTCGCACGCCGAGGCCCGTCGCACGTGGCCACCGTCACCCAGCCTCTGTGCTCACGTCAGCCCCGCAAGGCTACCCGGCAGTGCGCAGGGACGCGAAGTGGCAGACCCGACCCTTCGCACGGCCCGCACGTGGCACAATGGGGGTTAAAACCCCGGCCCCCCGCTGCCTGACCTCGTCTGTCTTCCCGCTCTGCTTCCGACACACAAAGTATGTTAGCAAAGTAGGCGCTAGTTTCCAAAAACGTTATTTTTCTATCGCGATGAAAATGGGAAAGGCTGCAATTTTTAACATCAAATACACGTCGTGGGAAGAAGGCCGGCGCCGAGAAGGCGTCGGGGCGTTAGCACCAAAGAACTCAGCGGCCACCTCTGAGCACCAGCAGAGCAGAAAACGGGAGAACAGAAGAAACACTAAGTTTCAAACGGTGACTTTGAGAGACTCGGCCAGGTGAGCGAAGGCAGCCCCCGCCCGGCCGTGCCCGGCCCGCGCCGCCCACCTTGCCGATTCTCCTGTGATCCCGGCTCCTGGCCTCCTGCTGGGACTTCGCCCAGGCCGCCATCATCTCGACGTCGGGGAAGGACACCCCGTAGACTCTCTGCAGGGCTTCCATTCCGGGGTCGCCCTCCCAGTGTGTTGAGGAATTCTAAACATCAAACGAGATCCCGGTAAACACATCAGACGTGTGCTTACGAGTGGCCGGTATGTACACGATTGTGTGTACACGATGGCCCGCTACCGTGGCAACGCAGTCGACGGGAAGGTGACTTCTTGTAGCGCTAGAAGGGATCTGAATCGTTTCTAACCAAATCGTGCCGGTCCGCGGTGATCGGTACACGATGCAGAGCCGTCTGGGGGTTCCGGGCTGGTGGAGGAGGAGGGAAGGAGGGAGGGAGGAAGAAGGGTAAAGGACAGTGTGATCGCCAGAGGGGACAGTAGGGGAAGCAGGCACAGGGGGCGGAGCTCGGTCTTGCCGGTCCACGGCTAGTGGTTAAGACAGCGCCGTCACCGACCCCTCATCCACCTGCGACAAAGCCCAGGCCCAGGAGGGTTAGGACAGCGAAGTCGGCCTCTCGATGTCCCCCAGAGCAGCGCTTTGTCCACTGCGCCTCGTGTGCCCTCCCTCTTCGCATGTTCTTTTCCAGTCCAGAGTCTACATGCGGATCAGTATCCTCGCTCACAGCAGGCGAGTCAACAAAGCTACAGTGCACACCACAGTATCTTAAAACGTCACAGAAAGAAACGCGTTGTGACACTTACAGCAGGGTTAGGTGATAAGTAAAAGCCACGTATAATGTCCTAATGATCAAAATCCTAAAAAATTACATTGTTTTTAGAAGGCCGTGTAAAAATCAAATAATGAAGCGTCTTTTAAAATAACGTGATGTTCGGATTCTAAATGATTGAAATTCCCAATTATCTAGTTTGCCTTAGGTTTGCTCTACTAAAAACGATAAATCCTTACCTTGAAAATCTTTATGGTTTTAATTTTTCCAGTGTGTCTCACGTGGGGCCCTTTACAAAGGTCAACTAGTGGACCACACCTACAATGAAACATGAAGACATGCCGGACACAGTTAAAGCTTCTTGCATTATTCGTTATAAACCATGGTCTCACGTGTTTTAAAGAATTTCACTCATTTGCATGTTTGGGGGAAATTTTTAATGTAGAGCCAATTCACACTAATTGAGATTAAGTTTGAATTTAGGGTAGAGGAGAGAGGCAATTCACCTCGCCTGGGATTTGAGTCTTCAAAAGCCACAGAACCTTCTGAAAGGAACCGTATGCGCAGAGACATCCCTCGGAATCGTCACTTCCCAAGGCTCTTGAAAACCTCCCACGGTCGAAAAATCAAAAAGCCACTTCCCTGCTTTACGCTAATTTTCAAAACAAAAATCATACGAAACGTATACAAAATGTATTAACGCGATACCTTAGCTTCAAAATAAACTTCACCAAACCCGTACAACAAACACAGGTGGGCGCTCACGTAAACTCGACTCTGGGTGACCGCGGCGTGCGGCGTGGGTTCACCAGCTGTGACGGGTGTCCCGTCCGGTGGCGTGTGACGGGCGGGCGGGGGGCAGGCTGCGCACGTGTGGGGGAGGGGGCGTAAGGGAACTCTGGGCCTTCCCCTCGATTTCGCTGTGAACGTAAAACTGCTCTAAAAAATAAAGTCTCTTAAAGAGATAAATAAACTTCGAGGGTTTTTTTGTTTTTAGGCCCTCTGGGTTTATGATGAAATGCCTAATTGTTCCTTGTTTATTTTTTTTTGTTTTGTTTTGTTTTTTAAACAACCCAATTCTAAAGTCATTTTATTTTTTTATTTTATTTTGTTTATTTATTTATTTTTAGGTGAGGCGACCCTTGGTTGACCTCACAGATTGCAAGGACCTTGTCGGCTTACAATCCCTTATTTTTTTATTTTTTACGCCTACAGCACCTGGTCTTCCTAGGCGGTCTCCCATCCAAGTACTCACCAGGCCCGACCCTGCTTAGCTTCCGAGATCAGACGGGATCGGGCTTGTTCGGGGTGGCGTGGCCGGAGACTTCTTGGTTTTTTAAAATAGCACTGATACAGAATGCAAATCCCAGGCAAAGGTTGGGACCCCACTGCTGAAGCCCACGGCACCGGAGCTGGGGACTCCCACGGACCAGTGACGGAAGAGAACCCCCAAACCTCAACAAGCGCAGGCTTTTCTTCAAGTGCAGAAACATCGACCGTCAGGGGACGGGTCCCCTAACATTGACCAATTCGAGGAAAATTTAGTAAAGAAAAGAAGCTGTTCCTTCACTATTCCAACCGATTTAAACATTTTTAAAGTTCAGCGGTTCAAATATCAGATATTACCACGAACACACAAAGGGACTGGATTATTCATCAAAGCAGAATGAAGCTTAAAACGTGAAAACATCGCTGCTTGGAATGAACAGGCTTTATTTATACCGTTCTCGGTCCATGATGGAGCCCGTCAATCAATGCTCAGGGAACGGAAGGGATGCCTCGTTCTGGTATTTGACCAATACTAATTTCTAGTATTCAATCCTAATCAATAACCTTTTTTCCCATAGGAAAAAAACCATCTATCTTCCAAAAATTAAAAGCAAGCCATTCGAACTGATAGAATTAAGATGTGTCAGTGTTAACCAAAGTAAGGTTCAAAAAAATAACCCCAAGGTCAAGTACTGAAAGCCGGAAATGTAAAACCTGGCATGTCTTCTCTATCTCTTTATTAATTTTAAACTTTAGAATGGTTACGCTAACATTTACTTGACTTATGTGCAATAATCGTAAACCCTCCTCAGACCTTCGGAACGTGGCAGGAGGGTCAGCGTGGACCCACGCGCAGGGCGCCGTGTTGCTGAGGGGCCATGGTGTCACCCGTAGAACCCTCAGTAGCTGGCCGTGGCACGCACGTGCCCCGGCGCAGAGTGTCTGTGATCGTTAACTCTGTGGGTGGCAGACCTTCTACCGTGGGGCCGTGAAGGTCACAGGGGCGGCCACACAGATGAACACACAGAACGGGGGACAGCAACTGCCCATCAGGCGGCTTAAAAAATGGATGAACCGCGTGGGCCGCGGGAGCCCAACGTCTGACAGAAAGAACCGAGTCAGCCGGAGCTGAAAGTCCTTTCCCTAACAGCCCCCCGAACCCTAAGGCCTTGGGCCACGCGGTCTAACCCGCAGGGAGAAAGACGCTGTCCCAGCTGAACATCCACAAAACGAAATCTGGGTTTCAGGACCATCTCGGTAAATACAAACGAGACGATGAGGTCCTTCTGGTGGTGACATCTCAGGGTCCCTGACTCCAGGAGCATGTCAACTATGCAAATTTACAAATATGCCAGCCACCCACAGACAAAGAGCTTCTGCCACTGCCCGCGAGGGTACCGCTGGGCGGCGTTTGAGAGTCACGCGCGCTTTACCCACCTGTACACGGTGGTGGCTGGGGCGTCGACCTTCTCGTTCAGGATGCGGCACTTAAATTTATTGTACTACAAAGGAAAACGTATTTACGAATTATTACGTAAAATGTTTAAGTGGCAAAAACATTTTACTATTTTCAACAGACGCTGAGCGGTGTTTCTACGTTCTGGGCGCCGAGAACCGGGGCCTACGGCGGCGCGGGGCCGAGAGCCACGTGGCCCGGCTCGGGAGCCGCGAGGCCGTGTGGCTGCCGGGTGCCCGACGTGCCACCGAGCTGAGGCGAGGTACGTTGTGTGCAGAACACACCGGGCTGCAGAGGCACAACGTGAAAACCTGAGCGCGAAACAGCTCATTAGTTTCTTGTGCCGGTCACCTGTTGAAGTGATATTTTGATAACACGGGGTAAAATAAAGTATTATAGAAGTCACTTTCGCCTTTGTTTGACTTTGAAAGTGTGGCTACTAGAAAGTGGGGATCATCTATGGGGCTCGGGTTTGTGGATCACATGATATTTCTAGTTGGACGCTGTTCCCGAAGGTTCCAGGTTTAGCTGCGTGGCACATAATTCTGTGGGCACAGCTACATAGTCACAAAAACAAAACCAAGGCTTATAGTCAACAATCACGTTACACTTAAACATTTCCCAGCCACTTACCGTCTCTTTTTCACTTTCATTACTATTATGGTGGTGCTGGCGACCTTATAACTACTTAGAGAGTTATTAGAAAAAAAGGGATATGCGTAATTTAACTGTTTCATATGTATATGTTCAAATCAAATCATTTGTCTGTACAAAGGTTTGACTGAGTTCAGCTCTCGACCCATAGAATGAGAGAAAATAACTACAAAGCACATATGTGATACGGGATTAATATCCAGAATATCTAAAAAGATATAACTCGACAACAAAAAACGACAAGCCATTTCGAAATGGGAAAAAGACTTGACATTTCTCCAAACGATATACAAATGGCCACTAAACACAGGAAAAGATGCCCAATGTCATTAGTTATTAAAGATGCAGATCAAAACCACAGTGAGATACTATGTCACACCCGTTAGGATGGCCGGCATCAAAAAAGTCAGGAAGTAAGTGTGGCAGAATGTGGCGACACCGGAAGCCTCATGCGTCGCTGGCGGGAACGTGAAACGCTGCAGCCGCCGTGGCTCACAGTGTGGCATCTGCTCAAAAAGCAAACAGGATTTCCACATAATTCAGCAATCTCACTTCTGGGTATACACCCAAAAGAACCGACAGCAGGGACTCAAACAGATAAAAAAGACACACGGTCACAGCTACGTTTTCCACAACAGTTAAAAGGTGGAAACGACCCAAGTGTCCGTGACGGATGAATGAATGAACAAAGTGTGGCCAACGGAATATTCGGCCTCAAAAAAGGAAGGACATTTTGACACACGCTACGAGATGGATGAATCTTGAGGACGTCACGCTGAGTGACGTGAGCCAGTCGCAAACGGACGAGTACCGTGGGATGCCGCTCAGGCGAGTTATGAAAATGGTCAAACTCAGAGGCAGGAGGTGGGGTGAGGGCCCGTGGGTGCAGGGCATCGCCGGGCAAGAGAAAAGCCGGGATGGATGGGTGATGGCTGCACAGAGGAGCGGGTGCAGTTAATGCGGCAGGACCGCGCACTTCGAAATGCTTAAAATGGTAAATTTTATATTTTGGATATTTTGCCGCAGAAAAAGAGTAGCTGTAACTTTTCCAAACCCAAATCTCTTTTCTTAATTTGAGCCCACAAAACTAGCCATGTTGTGCTTTCTCTGAGATGTATGACTTTCAA